CTCCTCTCAGGCCCAAGGCTGACCAGGGCTGGCCAGGCAGCCCTTGCAGAGGAAAGAGCAGCAGGTTTTTTGTTTGTTTGTTGTTTGTTTTTTTGATACAGAGTCTTGCTTTGTCACCCAGGCTGGGGTGCAGCGGCATGACCTCAGCTCACTGCAACCTCTGCCTCCCAGGTTTAAATGATTCTCATGCCTCAGCCTTCCATGTGTCAGGCGTGTGCCACCACACCACACCCAATTAATTTTTTGCATTTTTAGTAGAGACGGGGTTTCACCATGTTGGTCAGGCTGGTCTCGAACTCCTGGCCTTAAGTTATCCACCTGTCTCAGCCTCCCAAAGTGCTGGGATTTCAGGCATGAGCCGGCACGCCCAGCCAAGAACAGCAGGTTCTCATGCAGAGAATGCTGGGTCAAAATTCTTGTTCTGCCACTGGGGTCGTGTATCTTTGACAATTCCCTTCACCTCTCTGGGCATTGCCCCACCCTGAGCTAATGGAGGCTCCAGGCAAGAGCCCCTTAGGTCTCAATCCTCCCTCTCCGCCCCACCACTACTCACCATTTCCCCTGCCCTGCCACGCTCACTGCAGCTCTGATGGGCTGCTCTTTCCCTTCTCAGCTTTTGAGTTTCTGTCTTAGTTGCATCTGCCCCTTCCTGATTGCCTGATGGTAGTGGCCGGACTCAGGGTCGGACATCTGGGTTCAGGGTCAGACATCTGGGTTCAGATCCCATCTGCATCATTTTCTTGTTAGGAAAAATTACCCCACCTCTGTCAACCTTGATACTCTGTCTATAAAATGAGGGCTGAGAATCAGATCTTCTTGGGGTTCTTAGGAGAATAAAGATGATGGTGCACGTGTTGTATTTTCATGAGCAGGAACCTAAAGACCAGCACTTCTATTAATTAGACCATCCTGTCCCCCTACCCTCTTTCTTCCCTTCCCTCACACTAGGTTGGTTAAGATGCTGACCTCTTATTCCCCAGTACCATACCTGGCTCTGCAAAGCACACATCACTGTAGGTATTTAGTGTCATGCTTGTTTGTGTTTGGCCAGAAGTGTCTAGAGGGCAGAGACCAGGTCTCATTTATCTTCCAACCCCCAGGTCAGCAAGCACTTGATCAGAGCCAGTTTCTTGAGTGAGTGAATGCACGGGTGAATGAATAAATGAATTGCCAATGACCTTTTCAGCCCTGTGAGGAAACGCTCTTGGTCTTCACCAATCAATAGTGATCTGTGTCCCAGTTTCTAAGTCGTGCCCTAGAAAACGATCGCTGAGCTTCAAATGCACAATACAGTGTTGCGTGGACCAGATGCTGGCAGGGTAGGGAAGGGAGGTCACAGAGGTGGTGTGGGCCAGCCTTGGCACCCTGGATGCTTCCCGCTGTGGGAGAGGAACATCACACACACACGTGTCTTTTCACACCCACACATGTCTTATCTTTCTGCCCACCCCACTAGTGAGCTTACAGCACTTCCACTCAGAGTTGGCCCTGTCCCTTGGAGAGGGTCCTTAAATTACATCTGAGGGCCACCCTGCATATGTTTGTATGAATCACAAGACCTAGAGTTCAGATCCCATGAGGAAGAATACTATACCTAGGCCAGGGGGATGCAGCCACCGACCCACTTTGAAGCTCAGCTCTGGAATGGGCCAGCACCCTGTAGTACCACAAGGTCGATTGGCATCTTCTTAAGGAGCTTAATAAAATTCTAAATTATTAAAATAATAAGAGGATTCTGGGAGATTATATCTAAAAGCACAAACAGCATCACAGAAGTTTCCAAACAGATTTGTTTTTCTATTTACTGTTTCCACTTTAATTTGTTCAACCCATATTTCCCAAGGGCCTACTAGGAGCCAGGCATTGGGCTGTGCTCTGAAGATACACAGCCCAGTGAGGCCCAGTGAGACCCAGTCCCTTGGTGGCCAAGAGACCTCTTGGGGGAGAAGGGGATGCTGCTGAGACCGGCCCAGAGAGCAGAACTGCCCTGAGGACTCCTGTCCTGAGGCTTCTGAGTTACTGGGTACCCCTCGGGGCCAAGTTCGGGGCCATGAGCTACAGCTTTTGTCTCCTGAATTCCCACAGTTACCTCACAAGGTTGAGAGCAAATAAGTCTTCTCCATGAAGAAAATGAGGCTCGGAGAGGTTAAATAACACCCATCTTCACACAGCAAACCCACAGCCAAGTCGCCAGGAGCTCAGATCCTGACCAGTTTAACTCCAAATTCCATGTTCTTAACCCCGACATATGTGGCCCAGACAGGACAGAAGTGTTGAGTGAGGGAGGGGTCGTTTATTGATTCTCTCAGGTCCAGAGAAAATTTCACAAGAAAATGGGGCAGAGGGCAGGAATCTTATACCATTCCCAGTCCATATGACATTCTGAGTATGTTGGTATTTCTGTTGACATTTTTTGGAGGAGGTTTTGGTGTGGGGTTTGGAATAAGATAGTTTTTGGTCTGAGCATCTGCTCTGCCATTTGCTAATAGGATGACCTTGGGCAGGTGACTGAATCTGTTCTAACCTCAGCTTCACCTATAATGTTTAATGATAAGGATTCGTAAATGCTGGGAGTATGTCACAGATTAACTGCTATATTAGTTTGCTTGTGCTGCCGTAAGACATAACACAGACCTAAACAACAGAAATTTATTTATTTTCTCACAATTCTGGAGGCTGGAAGTCCAAAATGAAAGCTTTGGCAGGGTGACTTTCTTCTGAGGCCTCTCATCGTGGCTGGCAGAGGCTGCTGATAAAGACACACCTGAGACTGGGCAATTTACAAAAGAAAGAAGTTTAATGGATTTATAGTTCCACGTGGCTGGGGATGCCTCACAATCATGGCGGAAGGCAAGGAGGAGCAAGTCACATCTTACATGGATGGTGACAAGAAAAGAGAGCTTGTTCAGGCAAACTTCCCTTTTTAAAACCATGAGGTCTCATGAGATTTATTCACTGTCATGAGAACAGCACAGGAAAAACTTGCCCCCATGATTCAATTACCTCCCACCAGGTCCCTCCCACAACACATGGGAATTCAAGATGAGGTTTGGGTGGGGACACAGCCAAACCATATCAGATGACCTTGGACAGGTGAGTTAATCTGTTCTAACCTCACCTCTTCCACCTATAATATGTAATGACAAGGAATTCCTGCATGCTGGGGGTATGTTAAGGATTATCTGCTATATTAGTTTGCTTGTGCTGCCGTAAAAAAGTACCACAGAACTAAACAACAGAAATTTAATTATTTTCTCACAATTCTGGGGGCTGGACTTTGAAATTAAGGCTTTGGCAGGGTTACTTTCTTCTGAGTCCTCTCATCGTGGCTTGCAGATGGGCTGCTGATAAAGACATACCACAGACCAAACCTGGCTCTGAAAATGACCATGTCCAAGCCCAGCTGGAAACCAACTGCAAGTGGATGAGGAGGCAGCAGACAATTCTAGAGGAGACAATCTTCAAGACATCTGGCTTCTCTCCACCAGTACAAAAATACAAAATAATCAAGGTGCAGGCTGGAGACATGTCTCCAGGTTAAAAAAGACTTAAAGAGCATCACACACACAATATACTGTATGAATCATGGTTAGATCTTACCTTGATATCTAACCATGATAGTTAACTTCTGACAGTTAATACCTTCAATACGTAAATCTTCATCTGTAGAATTCTTACATAATGTAAGTGTTTTGGGTTTTTAATGGTAGTTCGGTGTGTAACAAACTACCCCAAACTAGTGGCTTGAAACGACAGTTGTTTTACTTATTTGCTCTTGATTCTACAATTTGGACAGGGGATGGCAGCTCAGGTGGCTAGGGGAGGCTGGGGGACCCTCCTCTGAGATGGCTTACACACGCGGCTGGCTGCAAGGAGTTCAGGCAAGGCTGTGGACTTGGGCCTCAGCAGTCTTCCTTGTGGTTTCTCCATGTGGCTGCTTCGGACTTCTCACAGTCTGGGGGTGTGAAGGTAGCTGGACTTGGTACATGGCTGCTGGCTTCCAACAGAGCAAAGGCAGATGCTGCCAGGCTTTCTGAAGGCTTAGCCCTATAACTGTCCCAATGTTACATCTGCCACATGGTATCAGTTAGAGTGAGTCACCCAAGCAGCCTGGCCAAATTCAAGGGGGAAGGGAACAAGGGCACACACACCAGGGGACATGGTTCACTGGAAACCCCACAGTGACATTCTGCTGGGAAAGAACTAAAGCAAAATCCCAGTGGAAAAACGGACCATGGAAATGAACAAATAATTCACACAAGAAATACAAATGGCCAACACGCATGTAAAGGTATGCTCAACAGACTTTCTAGAGCTATTTCATAAGAAAATACTCAGAAAAGTGCACAACATTGTTTACAATAGTAAAGGATTGGAAGGAGCTTAACCAGCCATTAATAGAAAGTAGATTAAATGAATTGCTTCATTGATTTGGTGGAATATAATGCAGGAAATATCTTAATCAACTGGGCTTTTAAGCCACTGACTTTGCTTCAGAAAATATTCGCCAACCCTTTCCAACTCATATCATCGAGATTCGAGCACCCAAATATTCATTTACCCATTAATTTCAGACATGTATTTAGTGCCACATGAGAGCAGTTAGTGTGCATGATATTGTCCCTGCCTCTGAAGTATTTTCACAGTGTTTGGCAAAAGTATTTAAAAACATTAATTATTAAGTAAATACAATGAAGATAGAACAGTTGAATGCACATTGACACCACCATCTCTTTCAACCAGAAGTCACCAGCAAGGTCCAAAATGAATCAAAGAGTACCTAGTTCTAGCGTGGATGAAGGATAACAAGCCCAGGAGTTGAGAATATTAATTGGCATGTCATCCTTGTCTTCCAATAGAAGCTTGGCCAAATAAACTATTATATATATGTAAAAAGGAACTCCATAACTCTGAATGGAAAATGATGTGGAACGATCTCCGTGATATTGTTAAAAGAAATGCAAATATTTCTTTTTATTTTATTTCTTTTATTTGAACAGTTTGTGCAGCATGCCTCCTATTGTGTCAACAATGTAAAAGGGAAATGTCTCAAAACGGAAGAAGACGCCTGTGGGCAACAGCATCTGGAGAGTGATCTGGGAGCTGGAAAGAAGACTCACTTTTCACTTTAGAAACTTGGGCACTGTAAGGATATTTTGGGCTTGGTGCATGTGTTTTATAAAAATAACTTAATAGAACATTTTTAATGTCTCAGAGATAGTGTGTTCATGACAGTTCACCTCACTAGCATCTTTTAAATCCACTCATTTATTCATCCATTTGTCCACTGATTCAGCATTTTGGTGGGAGTCATTTTAGGAAGGAAGATATGAAGGCAGAGAAGACAAGGCCCCCACTTCCAGGAAAGGATTCTCAGAGTCTAAGGGGGAAGCCCATGGGAGCAGGTGCTGAGAGGAGGAGGGTCACCCCAGAGCTGAGGAGGGCTCAAGAGACAGTGACTGACCTCAGCTAGCTGCATGTGTGCAGTGGGGGCATGGCTGGGCAGCAGGGAGGGTCCAAGAAAAGGGGTCATCTAAGCTGGGCTTTGAAAGGCACATGAACTTGGGTCAGATGAGGAAGGCCAGGCAGGAACCTTGGCATCCACCAGAGCAAACAATTAATGTTTCCAACTCAACCAACCTATTTGGCAGGAGTGAGGAATTTACGAGCCAAAGGGAAGAGAGAAGGAAGGAGGCATTCAGACTAGGAGACTATGAGAGAGATTTTTTGGTTTTTCATGGAAGAAATCATACCTCGTTTTATTATTTTTTATTTTTATTATGTTTACAAAACAAAAATCTCTACCCATCTTCAGTCACATGGCAACCAAGGACCCTGCTGCTCAGAGGAGTGAACTTTGTCTGTTCTCTTCCGGAGTAGCTCATCATGCTACAGGGTCCGGTCCAGGGCTGCCGGGAGGACAATGCAGTCTCTCTTAGATGCTGAAATACATTTCAATGGCACAGCAGCAGGCCACTGAGAGCTTCTGGTAGGGCTTCTCAAACTTCTGTCCTTCCAGGTCCCAGTTAATATAGGGCAGTTGTAATCATAGCTGGATTCCTGGAGGTGTGAACTTGGGCAAGTCACTTTCTCTCTGAAAATCCAACATCCCAAAGCAACCAACTTTCAGGATTGGCACAAAGACTAAGGTGACAGTGTCCTATATCAGTTGCCCATCATCATCTTATATTTCAGATGCCTTACATTTATCCCCTACATGTCTGGGAAATATTCCCTACCCAAGGACTTGTTGACAGCAGCCACCCAGGCTACCCTCTGATTTCCCTTTTCTCTTCTTCCACCTAGAGTGTCGTTCAGATCAGTCTTGCATTGACTCCCATAGCCACAGTCGTGGTTCAATTTTCATTCTCTCTCGCATTATCTCCCTGACTTGGTGCTTCCGCACATAATGGAAGACATCAAGGTCTTTTGAAAACACAGATCTGACTATGTCAGCCTCCTGTTTCTAATTCCTCAATGGCTCCCAATTGCCCAAAGGCCAATCATGACTCCTCATAAGAGTATACAAGGGCCCTCCTGGCCAGCCCCTATCTATTCAATCAGCCTCAATTCTAGGTTTTCCAAACCCCATATGTTATGCGCAATAGATATGATTATTAATCATTCCTAAAACCCACCACATTTTCTCATGCTTCCATGCTTTTTCACAGGCTGTTCCCACTGCCTGGAACTACCATGCTTTCCAAACCTTCTCTTTATCTAGAAGTATTATGCCTCCTTGGTACTTCTCCTGACATCTATGTGCCCTGGCTGGGTGAGGTGACCCTGCTCTATACTCCCTGCCACAGTTGTCTGAGCTACCTCGGTCATCACAATTAGCACAGAGCCTGGGCTCAGCTCTTCTCTGTATCTGCTTCCTCTGATGACCTAGTGTGGCCTAAGTGGTGCACCCAGCACGGAGCCTGGTTAGAGAGAGAATATGTTAATCAAATGAGAGAATGCATGTCCCTGGTACTAACCCAGGGTATGAGTGACAGCCCTTTGCCTGTGTTTCAGATACAATGTGCCTTGTCTGGGAGCTTCCACAGTATGTGGAAATGACCACCGTCACCTTCCACTAGGAGACTATTTCTTCCAACGCAATTCCCAGACATGTGGAACAATTGGGGCTTAACTTCTTTCCGTCATTAGATTAGAATGTTTTATGGCTTTCCAAAAAAACAGACCCAATAGGAAAGACATATAGATATAGATATAGAGGCCGGGCGCGGTGGCTCAAGCCTGTAATCCCAGCACTTTGGGAGGCCGAGGCGGGTGGATCACGAGGTCAGGAGATCGAGACTATCCTGGCTAACACGGTGAAACCCCGTCTCTACTAAAAATACAAAAAACTAGCCGGGCGTGGTGGCGGGCGCCTGTAGTCTCAGCTACTTGGGAGGCTGAGGCGGGAGAATGGCGTGAACCCGGGAGGCGGAGCTTGCAGTGAGCCGAGATCCGGCCACTGCACTCCAGCCTGGGAGACACAGCGAGACTCCGTCTCAAAAAAAAAGATATAGATATAGATATAATTAATGAAAAGATTGTGAGGAATTGACTAATGTGGTTGTGGAGGCTGAGAATTCTCACCATCTTCTATCCACCAGCTAGAGACCCAGAAAAGTGAGTGCTGTAATTCCAGCCTGAGTCCGAAGGCCTGAGAACCAGGGAATTTGATGCTATAAGTCCCAGTCCAAGGGCAAGAGAAAATGAGATGCTCCAGCTCAACCAGGCATGCAGGAAGCAAAAGGGACGAATCTTTCCCTCCTTCCTCTACCTTTTTGTTCTATTCAGGCCCTCGATGGATTAGATGGTTCCCACCCACATTGGGAAGGGCCATCTGCTTTACTAAGTCCCCCCACTTAAATGCTAGTCTTATCCAGAAACATCTGCACAGATACACTCAGAAAAAAATGGTGCATCAGGGCATTAACGCCTTGGCCCAGTCAAGCTGACACAAAATGAAACCATCACACAGAAACTATCTCTTCTGAATAAATATATTTCTCATTTCCGTGGGCAAATCTACCTTTAAATTAATTTTACAGGGCTTCTGTGAGCAAAGGAAGCTTAGAGTTCATCTAGTTAGTTCTGCCTCTGTGCCTGCTTTGCAGATGGGGAAACTGAGGCTCAGAGAGCAGACTTGAGTCCCAGGGCCTGCTGCCGGGCAGAACCAGTCTGAGCTCCTCCCAACAAGCCTTGCTCTCCAGGAGACATGATTTATTCTTTCCAGGGGCTGTGGTCTTGGCCCTCCTGGGCCTGCTGCCTTGTTTTCCTGTGGCCCCTTACAGAGCTCAAAACACTCCCCACTCAGAAATGAGACGAGTGCTCTCACTTTTGCAGATGAAGAAACAGAGGCGCAGACAAATGCAGTGTCCCGAGGTCATAAGCCGAAGACTCAAACTGAGGTCCTCTGTCTCCTCACCCAGTGCTGTTTCTTCTAAAACAAAACAAAACAAACAAACAAACAAAAAAACCCAAACCCACTGGGATATGAGGACCAAGAAACATAATTATTTCTAGATAATTTAAAAGAGAAAGATGCAAGGATACTGCCTGTGTCTTAGAAGCTGGAAGAAAATACAGTTCAGAAGGCTAGGGAAGAATGATAGAGGAGCATAGGTTAACTTCTCTATACGCTGTTTACATACCTGGAATTCCACCACACCCTCTGCCAGTGCAAGCTTCCTCTTTCTGACCCATTTATTTCCTAGAAAATAAATAAATTGATGACTCCATTCCCCTTTGTAAAGTAGATATTCTTTACTATCTAAAATCCAAATTATAGATCCTATGATCTCCTTACATATATAATCTTAAGACAATAGATTTGATGCACTTTTACATATAAAGGAGAAATGGAATAAAAATGATTTGTAGTACATTTCTAAATATGCAGGTGCTTGGGCATGACCATACTGGAAGACATGATGAAACAATCAGATTCCCAACATGTATAAATAAGAAACCACTGTGAATGCACACTTATAAACACAGACCAACTTGGGCGTGTTTTGCAGGTGATTCAAAGACTATGAGTAGAATTGCTGTGAGTGTTATAATTTTCCCAAATAGCAAGAAACTCTTGAAAGAACTCCAGACCAAACAAAGCACAAGCTTCTCTCAATTTACACTGTAGATGCTTCCTAGAACATTTAGGAAATATTAACAGTGTGCACAAAAGCCCTTCTGAGTGCCTATATAACATGTAGCTAGGTTCTGAGCTTAGGTCATCATAAACAACTGTTTTTCTTGCATGAATGTCCATTGGCACATTTTTTTTTCATACCCTTAGCTTGACTTCAGTAGCACATTTTTAAGTCGGGTGGGATATGAAGTAAATTTTTTTGTACAGTAAACAAATGATGGATGCAGGGTAGGGTGGCACACCTATGTAACACACTAGCCAGACTGTGGTTCATACAGGGTTTGGCAGGAGACGGGTAGATAATAGTAAGTAACGATAATAAAAATAATAGCTAGCAGTTGTATAATTTGTGCCAGGAACTTTTTTTCTTTTTTTTTTTTTTTTTTTTTTTTTTTTTGAGACGAAGTCTCACTGTGTTGCCCAGGCTGGAGTGCAGTGGTCTGATCTCGGCTCACTGCAACCTCCGCCTCCCGGGTTCAAACAATTCTCTGCCTCATCTGCCTCAGCCTCCTGAGTAGCTGGGATTACAGGTGCCTGCCACCACTCCTGGTTAATTTTTGTGTTTTTAGTAGAGGCGAGGTTTCACCACCTTGGCCAGGCTGGTCTTGAACTCCTGACCTCGTGATCCACCTGACTTGGCCTTCCAAAGTGCTAGGATTACAGGCGTGAGCCACCACGCCCGGCTGTGTCAGGGACTTGTAAATGCTTCCTATATATTAATTTATTGATTCCTCGCAACAATCCTATTAGATTGATTGCAGTATTATTCTCATTTTACAGATATAGGAACGGAGACATGGAGAGGTTATAGGACTTTCTTGAGCTTACACAGGTAAAAGGCATTTAGTTCAGCATGACAGATGCCCAAGAATACTTCCTACCTGCTGTCTGCAGGTGCAGTATGGAAATTGATCATGTTCTGAGACCACAGGAGAGGGACCTAATACACACACACACACACACACACACACACACACACACACACACACACACACACATATATATGGAGAGAGAGAGAAGA